CTTTTTCATAATGAAGTCATTTGGTTTTCATATTTGATAAGATTAAAATAACTATATAGGCCGTGGATAAACTACTAAACACTCAATTGCTAAATATTAGTTATTGAGATAAGATTAAGTTCGAACAAACACTTAATGAAAAAAATCACTCAATTATCAATTACAAAAATTGAGTATATTTCATATGAAATTCGAAATGTTAAAATTATTGGACTGGTCGCCCCATTCATTTGTCTTCTCTGCTAATTCTACAAATGTCATCCCTATACAGAACAAAATGCTACAAAATAAATCCGTTATATACATTTCCATTTAAACTTGACATTTATCCGCTGTAGTACCTATAACCATATAAATATATCGTGTTTTTAAATATAGTCTAGAATATAGCCTGGACTATAGACTCATCTGGACTATACACTAAATTATAGACCAAACTAAAGACTAGACTACAGTCTGGAATATATACTCGACAATAATCTGGAATATAGACTATAGCCCGGATTATATACTAGACTACAGTCTGGGCTATATGTAGTCCAGACTATAGACTAGACTATAGTCTGGAGTATAAACTAGCATAGTCTGGACAATAGACTACACTATAGTCTGGACTATAGACTAGACTAAAGTCTGGACTATAGACTAGACTATAGTATGGACTATAGACTAGACTATAGTATGGACTATGGACTAGACTATAGTCTGGACTATAGACTAGACTATAGTCTGGACTATAGACTAGACTATAGTATGGACTATAGACTAGACTATATTATGGACTATAGACTAGACTATAATATGGACTATAAACTAGACTATAATATGGACTATATATTAAACTACAGTCTGGACTATAGACTAGACTATAGTCTGGACTATAGACTAGACTACAGTCTGGACTATAGACTAGACTACAGTATGGACTATAGACTAGACTACAGTCTGGACTATAGACTAGACTATAGTCTGGACTATAGACTAGACTATAGTCTGGACTATAGACTAGAATATAGTCTGCACTATAGACTAGACTATAGTCTGGACTATAGACTAGAATATAGTGTGGACTGTAGACTAGAATATAGTCTGGACTATAGACTAGACTGTAGACTAGAATATAGTCTGGACTATAGACTAGACTATAGTCTGGACTATAGACTAGACTATAGTCTGGACTATAGACTAGACTATAGACGAGTCTAGACTGGATTATAGACTAGACTATAGTCTAGACTATAGACTGGACTATATTCTGAACTATGGACTACACTAAAGTATGGACTAGAGGCTCGACTATAGAATTGACTATAGTGTGGGCTATAGGCTAAACTATAGACTAGACTGTAGTGAGGATTAGACTATAGTCTGGACTATATAATAGAATAGTCTTGACTATAAACTAGAATAGTCTAGACTATAGACTACAATAGTCTTGAAGTTAGTCTAGAATAGTCTGAACTAAAAACTAGAGTAGACTGAACTATAGACTAGAATAGTCTGGACTATAAGCTAGAATAGTCTGGACTATAAGCTAGAATAGTCTGGACTATAGACCAGACTATAGTCTAAACTCTTGACTAGATTACAGTATGAACTATAGACTAGAATATAGGCCGTACTATAGACTAGACTAACTATAAGTATATAACTATAGTCCGGTCTATAGATTAGACTATGGTCTATATTGTTGACTAGACTATAGTCTGGACTGTAGACTAGACTGCATTCTAGAAATAGACAAGACTAAAGTGTGGACTATAGACTTGACTATAATCGAGAATTTTGCATATTAAAATAAAATTAAAAGTTTTACATTAAATTTTACAAATGTAAGTATTTTATTAAAATATCTGTAATGTACATAAATAATTTAATTATACATTTGATTAGTTAATTCTTTTTTGTTTTTGTCTTATGAACACACACACATTATTAGTTTTAAACTTGAACACACTTTATCTGCTCTGAATTTTTTTGTTAATTTTTCATCTCCATTACTTTTAAATTTCGTATTTATCGTTAACATTCTTAGAAAAGGAACACTTGTAGATTTATCCTCCATACACAACATTAAGAATTTTGTCCGTTATCACTCTGTTTGCCAGTTTCATCAGCGCTTTTATCCTTTTGCTGGTCACTGCTTGCCATAGAGTCGTTGTTAGCATTATCATTGGATTTTACAGGTTCCACGGCTATAAGATTGGAATCACGATCTAATAAAGCACCGTAGGCAGAGCTATAAGAGGAGAGAGTAGAGATCTTTTTTCAATAAATTTACTATTCTTAAGGTAATAAAAATATATAGTAGAGAAAATTTAAGATTTGAAAAATAATGAAAAATAAAATTACAACAGATTTACAAAACATTTACAAATTGAAAATAAATTATTTAATTTTTTAGTATTGTGATATGTTAAACCATCTACAACTTACCTTTGCTGATCTCTATTCCTGTCCCTATTGTTATTATTACTATTACTAGTATTACTACCACTATTATTACTACCACCTCGGGAGGGTTGATCATCTTCTCTCATATACGACCAACCGCCCGTTGAACCCGAACCTTTCGAACTGTCATTACGATTTGTATTCGAATTTGTGTTGTAGGTTGTCTGAGAAACACCCATATTATAACCACCGCTATCAATGGTACCAGATGTTACACGAGTTCCCCCTTCTTGGGGATTATATGGACAATTTGGTTTCCTAACTCCACAGGGTGAAATGGCAGGTGAATTATAACCGGGTTCGGGTAAATAGCGGCGATCTTCTTGTGTTCCTTTAGCATAATATTGGCCATGACCAGCACTATCATAGCTGGACTGCCCTCTAAGTATGGGTTTTGGTTGGTTAGATTTTTAGGTGGTAGTTAATGGTAATTTTAAAGTAGAAGGTGCACATGTTATTATTTTAGTGGTTTTTGTAGAAGTGTTTTAAAAGAGTTGATTTTTTTGTTTGTTGTTTTTGTAGTTGTTGTATAATACATGAAGTTCAAAGTTTAAAGTGTTGTTGTCATTTTTTTAAATATGTAAGTATATAAAAATAGAGTTTTTAATGTACAAAGTTGGACTTAAAAAGTTATAAACATATAGTGAAAACAGATCTTTTTAAAATATAGGCTGTAGACAAGACTATACTCTGGACTATAGACTACACCATAAATTGGACTGAAGACGATAATATTCAATGGACTATAATCTGGATTATATAATTCAATACAATCTGGAATATAATTCAGACTATTGATTAGACTATAGTCCAAACTAGGACTAGACTATAGTCTAGTTCATAGACTACACTAGGAACCTAACTATAAACTAGTCTATACTCTGTAGAGGTGTACTATAGACTAGACTATAGTTTGGACTATAGTCTGGACTATAGACTATATTACAATCTGGACTATAGACTATATTCTGTGCTATAGACTAGACTATATTCTGTACTATAGACTAGATTATAGTCTGGGCTATAGACTTGAATATACTCTGGACTATAGACTGGACTATAGTCCGGACTATATACAAGACTATAGTCTGGACTATATATTAGACTATATTCTGTTCTATATATTAGACTATATTCTGGACTATAGACTAGACTATAGTCTGTGCTATAGACTATACTATAGTCTGGACTATAGACTATACTATAGTCTGGACTATAGACTAGACTATATTCTGTGCTATAGACTAGACTATATTCTGGACTATAGACTAGACTATAGCCTGGACTATAGCCTGGACTATAGACTAGACTATAGTCTGGACTATAGACTAGACTATAGTCTGGACTATAGACTAGACTATAGTCTGGACTATAGACTAGACTATAGTCTGGACTATAGACTAGAATATAGTCTGCACTATAGACTAGACTATAGTCTGGACTATAGACTAGAATATAGTGTGGACTGTAGACTAGAATATAGTCTACAGTCCACACTATATATTAGACTATAGACTAGACTATAGTCTGGACTATAGACTAGACTATAGACTAGACTATAGTCTGGACTATAGACTAGACTATAGTCTGGACTATAGACGAGTCTAGACTGGATTATAGACTAGACTATAGACTGGACTATATTCTGAACTATGGACTACACTATAGTATGGACTAGAGGCTCGACTATAGACTTGGCTATAGTGTGGACTATAGGCTAAACTATAGGCTAGACTGTAATGTGGATTATACTATAGTTTGGACTATATAATAGAATAGTCTTGACTATAAACTAGAATAGTCTAGACTATAGACTACAATAGTCTTGAAGTTAGTCTAGAATAGTCTGAACTAAAAACTAGAGTAGACTGAACTTTAGACTAGAATAGTCTGGACTATAAGCTAGAATAGTCTGGACTATAAGCTAGAATAGTCTGGACTATAAGCTAGAATAGTCTGGACTATAGACCAGACTATAGTCTAAACTATTGGCTAGATTACAGTATGAACTATAGACTAGAATATAGTCCGTACTATAGACTAGACTATAATCTGGACTATAGAATTGACTATAGTCTGGCCTACAGACTTAACTATAGTCCGGTCTATAGATTAGACTATGGTGTTGACTGTAGATTAGACTATAGTCTGTCCTTTAGACTTAACTATGGTCTGGTCTATAGACTAGTCTAGTCTGGATTATATACTATACTATAATGTGGACTATAGACTAGACTGTATTCTGAACTATAGACTAGTCTTTAGTATGAACTATAGACTGGACTATAGCCTGAACTAAAAACAAGTCTATATTCTGAACTATAGACTAAACTATATTGTTGACTAGACTATAGTCTGGACTGTAGACTAGACTGCATTCTAGAAATAGACAAGACTATAGTGTGGACTATAGACTTGACTATAATCGAGAATTTTGCATATTAAAATAAAATTAAAAGTTTTACATTCAATTTTACAAATGTAAGTATTTTATTAAAATATCTGTAATGTACATAAATAATTTAATTATACATTTGATGATTTAATTCTTTTTTGTTTTTGTCTTATGAACACACACACATTATTAGTTTTAAACTTGAACACACTTTATCTGCTCTGAATTTTTTTTGTTAATTTTTCATCTCCATTACTTTTAAATTTCGTATTTATCGTTAACATTCTTAGAAAAGGAACACTTGTAGATTTTTCCTCCACACACAACATTAAGAATTTTGTCCGTTATCACTCTGTTTGCCAGTTTCATCAGCGCTTTTATCCTTTTGCTGGTCACTGCTTGCCATAGAGTCGTTGTTAGCATTATCATTGGATTTTACAGGTTCCACGGCTATAAGATTGGAATCACGATCTAATAAAGCACCGTAGGCAGAGCTATAAGAGGAGAGAGTAGAGATCTTTTTTCAATAAAATTACTATTCTTAAGGTAATAAAAATATATAGTAGAGAAAATTTAAGATTTGAAAAAGAATGGAAAATAAAATTACAACAGATTTACAAACATTTACAAATTGAAAATAAATTATTTAATTTTTTAGTATTGTGATATGTTAAACCATCTACAACTTACCTTTGCTGATCTCTATTCCTGTCCCTATTGTTATTATTACTATTACTAGTATTACTACCACTATTATTACTACCACCTCGGGAGGGTTGATCATCTTCTCTCATATACGACCAACCGCCCGTTGAACCCGAACCTTTCGAACTGTCATTACGATTTGTATTCGAATTTGTGTTGTAGGTTGTCTGAGAAACACCCATATTATAACCACCGCTATCAATGGTACCAGATGTTACACGAGTTCCCCCTTCTTGGGGATTATATGGACAATTTGGTTTCCTAACTCCACAGGGTGAAATGGCAGGTGAATTATAACCGGGTTCGGGTAAATAGCGGCGATGTTCTTGTGTTCCTTTAGCATAATATTGGCCATGACCAGCACTATCATAGCTGGACTGCCCTCTAAGTATGGGTTTTGGTTGGTTAGATTTTTAGGTGGTAGTTAATGGTAATTTTAAAGTAGAAGGTGCACATGTTATTATTTTAGTGGTTTTTGTAGAAGTGTTTTAAAAGAGTTGATTTTTTTGTTTGTTGTTTTTGTAGTTGTTGTATAATACATGAAGTTCAAAGGTTAAAGTGTTGTTGTCATTTTTTTAAATATGTAAGTATATAAAAATAGAGTTTTTAATGTACAAAGTTGGACTTTAAAAGTTATAAACATATAGTGAAAACAGATCTTTTTAAAATATAGGCTGTAGACAAGACTATACTCTGGACTATAGACTACACCATAAATTGGACTGAAGACGATAATATTCAATGGACTATAATCTGGATTATATAATTCAATACAATCTGGAATATAATTCAGACTATTGATTAGACTATAGTCCAAACTAGGACTAGACTATAGTCTAGTTCATAGACTACACTAGGAACTGGACTATAAACTAGTCTATACTCTGTAGAGGTGTACTATAGACTAGACTATAGTTTGGACTATAGTCTGGACTATAGACTATATTACAATCTGGACTATAGACTATATTCTGTGCTATAGACTAGACTATATTCTGTACTATAGACTAGATTATAGTCTGGGCTATAGACTTGAATATACTCTGGACTATAGACTGGACTATAGTCCGGACTATATACAAGACTATAGTCTGGACTATATATTAGACTATATTCTGTTCTATATATTAGACTATATTCTGGACTATAGACTAGACTATAGTCTGTGCTATAGACTATACTATAGTCTGGACTATAGACTATACTATAGTCTGGACTATAGACTAGACTATATTCTGTGCTATAGACTAGACTATATTCTGGACTATAGACTAGACTATAGCCTGGACTATAGCCTGGACTATAGACTAGACTATAGTCTGGACTATAGACTAGACTATAGTCTGGACTATAGACTAGACTATAATCTGGACTATAGACCATATATTTTTCATGTAAATATTAAATATTTTACCGCATTAGTCCAAGTTTTCACTATATGTTTCTCATGTTATCTTGTATATGAGTTTAAGTATTTACAGCGAAATTATTTAACAAATATAACAAATTTATATATAATTTATATATACATATATACAACATTGCCTACATACATTTACGATCAAGTACACATTAATTAAATATGCACTTTACCTGTATGAGTCATCCCATGGACGATAATGGCGAAAATCATACCTTGGTGAATAACGATCATAATAGTCACGATCATAGCTGCCATAACCAGATGTAGCTCCGGCACCAGCTCCATATCGAGGACGATCATAATAGCGATCTAATAACATTATTATATATTATCACACGAATTTGAACGTTAAGTTTTTAAAACATACCTCTGCCATAATAATCACTACTGCCACGATCAGCACCATAATAACGATCACGATTGTCATAACCATAACCTCGACTTTCACCACGATCATAAGCAGCTGGTCTTTCATAAGGAACTCGACTGCGGGTATCATAACGATCATAGGCTGGTCGTGCGCCATAACGGTCATCCCTAGATTAGGATATAAAAAAATTAAAATTATATATTTTAAGTCATCAGGAAATGTTTAAGAAAACCTGTACCTATAACCAGCATATTTGTCGGCACCATATCTGTCAGCACCATATCTGTCAGCACCATAGCGATCAGCGCCATAGCGATCAGCACCATAACGATCTGCCCCATAACGATCAGCACCATAACGATCTGCACCATAACGATCGGCTACAGGGGCTGCATATCTATCATATTCCGCACCACGATAGCCACGATCGTCGTAACGATCATGTCCGGAATAATACCAACTACTTGCACGATCATCACCAGATCTGGCAGCATAACTGCCATAATAACGGCTGCGATCATCAGCATAACGCCTGAAGAAAAGTAAAAATACAAATTATATTAATTAATCAATTAAAACTTATAATTCTAAACTAACCTGTCTTCATAACATGTTACACATCTTGATTGTCGACTTTTATGATAAATTGAACCCAATATACTGGACGACACCTCCTGACCTTTATCATCAGTTCTCGCATATGCTGCTTTATTGTTGCTAGCTACTGCACTTACTGCTGATTCTACTAAACGCATGGGCCATTGTAACACACAAAGTGCAAATATTAAATATGAAATCTAAATTTAAAAAAAATGCAACAGAAATAATTAACCATTAATTAACATTATTTAAAATAGAAATTACAATTAAATTTAAAAAAAAATGTTGCATTGTTTTATAAAATTGTTTACAAACTATACATATTCATTGTGCTAACTGCCCCGCTCATCAGCAAACTGTTTAATAATTATGACCAATAATTATTAACTAAATAATCGCAAAATTTCATCGCTGTTTATGGACAGTTTTATATATTTTAATATTTTTTTACGTTTGACTTAATAAATGGGTCAACATATTTATTCTATAGCATTTTAAATTCAATAGAAAATATTTAGAAAATTTAAACTAATTTAGACAAATTGCTGGAGTGCAATTTAAAATGAAATTATGCGGAAATTTATGAACAATTTAAAACGGTTAATGGTGATTAAGGGACTTACAAATCTGTTACATTTAGTAGGGTTATAAATTAGAAAGATTTCAGAGGTTGATAAACGAAATAAGACTGCATTGTATACCTATTGTCTGGACTTTACAATATACTGAACTAGAGTCTAGACCAGAGATTAGGGTATAGTCAGGACTACAATTTGTGTAGACTACTGTCTGGACTATAGTCTAGATCATAGCATAAACTATAGACTATAATATAGACTAGACTAGACAATAGTCTGGATTTATACTAAACTAATGTCTGGACTATAATCTATACAATATTCTGCACTATAGGCTATACTACAGTCTGGACTATAGACAATACTATAGTCTGAACTATAAATAGACTATACTATAGATTATACAATAGTCTGGACTATAAACTATACTGTATATGGACTATAGACTAAGTCTGGTCTACAGACTATACTATATTCTGAACTACTTATATACTACATATTCTATAGTCTGAACTATAGACTTCACTATAGTCTGGACAATTGACTTTAATATGGGCTGGACTATAGACTATACAATAGTCTGGGTTATAGACTATACTTCAGTCTGAATTATATTATACTATGGTGTGGACTGTTAACTAGACTATACTCTGGACTATAGACTAGACTATACTATGGACTATAGACTAGACTATAGTCTGGACTATAGACTAGACTATAGTCTGGACTATAGACTAGACCATATGATGTACTATAGACTAGACTATAGTCTGAACTATAGGCTAGACCATAGGCTGGACTATATACTAGACTATAGTCCGGCCTATAGACAAGACTATACTCTGGACTATAGACTAGATTATAGTCTGGAGTATAGACTAGACTATAGTCTGGACTATAGACTAGACTATAGTCTGAACTATAGACAAGACTATAGTCTGAACTATAGACAAGACTATAGTCTGAACTATAGACAAGACTATAGTCTGAACTATAGACTAGACCATATGATGGACTATATACTAGACTATAGTCTGAACTATAGACTAAACCATAGGCTGGACTATATACTAGACTATAGTCTGGCCTATAGACTAGATTATACTCTGGACTATAGACTAGATTATAGTCTGGAGTATAGACTATATTCTGGAATAGACTACAGTCTGAACTATATACTAGACTATAGTCTATACCATAGTCTTGACTATATATTATACTGTAGTCTGGACTATAGACTAGTCTATAATCTTGACTTTAGACTGTAGTATAGTTTGGACTATAGGCTGGACTATAATCTGGGCTACAGGCTACACTATAGTCTGGACGACTATAGACTGCGCTATAGTCTCGACTATAGTCTGTTCTATAGACTAGATTATACACTGGACTATAGACTATAGTCTGGACTATAGATAAGACTATAGTCTGTACTAAAGACTAGAATATAGTCTGAACTATTGAGTAGACTATAATCTGGACTTGAGACTGGACTGTAGTGTGTTCTATAAACTTGACTATACGCTGTTCTATAGAGTAGACTATAGACTAGGCTATGGTCTGGACTATAGACTAGACAACAGTCTGGACTATAGACTATACTATAGTCTGGACTATAGACTAGACTAAAGTCTGGACTAGAGACTAGACTAAGTCTGGACTAGAGACTAGACTATAATCTAGACTAGAGACTAGAATGTAGTCTGAACTACAGAATAGACTATAGTCTGAACTAAATTCTAGACTATAGCCTGAACTACAGACTAGAATATAGTCTAAAATACAGACTAGACTGGTTTAGATATTAGACCACAGAGAAGGCATTCATTTTACGAACATTTAATATCAAGTTTTAACCATTAAATTTAAATTTTAATTATTTATGTAAAATTAATAAGCAGAAATTTTAAAACAATTAAATGTTGATATTAATAAATATGTATTACAATTGTTTCAAGTTATTTTACAAATAATAAAAATTTAGCACTTTTTTGTAGTACGGCCTTGGTTTATAGTTCAGTGACTTTCTATGGTAACAAAAAAAGAAAAAAACATTAAGTTCTAAAAATAAATAATTTTTCAAACAAAAAAAAAGAAATAAAATAAATAAATTTAAATAATAAATGTAATTGTTAAAATATATAACACATTCATTTAAATAATAAAATATAGAAAATAAAGTTAAAAAAGAATTAAAACAAATTTGAAATATTTAAAAATTTTCAATATTTATGGTTTTTATAAATGTTGTAGCAAGTGGCGCCAACATTTTTTTTATTAATAGTTTTTGAAATGTTTAAGTTTTTGTTAATTATTTAAAAGGAAATATATGTATGTGGACGTAGATAATTTGTCACTTGTTATAACAGAAAGTATAAAAATTTTAAACACTTTTAGTTTTTGGGGAACAAAAAAAAAAAAACTGAAAACAAAATGACCTCCAAAATGCCGGCGTCATAATATTACCAGTCATAGTAGCTACAAAAAAAAAAGCTGTGAGTGTTCAAGTGAACATAAATATGTATTTTATATAGAAAGATATAAAATATATTTTAGGCTAAAAGTCAAACACATATGATTTTGTATTTATCTTTTTTTTGTTGATAAATTTTGTTCCAACAGCATTGACATCACCTTCCTCGTGAGCTTTAAATTGGTCTACTCTCCACGCTTTGTTAGCCAAGCATCAGGAGCCACTTCCGGCTAAATACGGTTAAAGTCACCACATACATTTATGAGTATTTTAATTTTTTTTTTATTATTATTTAGAATTTGTTGTTAATATTAGGTGATTAATAATTTCATATTCTCAATGTGCGCTTGGTCGCCTTTTGGGTTAATTATTGTAAATAGAAAAAAACGCTAAATATCAACAAATAGATATAGATACAGATTTGAAATTAACAAAATATAATACAGCTGGGGAATTGTTTATATGTATATTGAATATATGTAAGTTTATACTTTATTATAATGAATTTATGAATTATAATTATTCAAATCCTCTGCTCTGTCACAAATATAAAATAACTATTTTTATGGGTTTTTTAAAAAAACATTTGAAACCTATTACCTGACTACTGTTTTTGCTACTATTAACAGTTTTTTGCATAAATAAATAAGTTTTTTAAAAACCATTTTATGAATGGCTGACTGCCTGTGCAGTTGTCTATGGAAATGATCTTAAAAGTGACAACTGAATTTGCATGATCATCGTCATCACTTCAACTAAAACAATTTATTGTACTTTAGATTATCTTTTTTTAATTTATTTGCAATTAAAATGTAATAATTCATAATTAATTAAGATTTTTCTTTTGAGTTGACAGTGTGCAAATTATTAATTTGCCAGCAACTTCATTAATTATGTTTTTACGCCCATTTGTTGTTAACTTATTTTAATTTTACAAAAAAATCTATATTAAGAACTTCAGTTAAAAAAAAATTTAAGAGTGAAACCACAAAATTTAATGCATATCATTAATTTTAATTTAAGTAGTTCATATAAATATTATCTAGGTTATCATGACTTTATGTTATTTTTTAATTAAGACCCTAGGGCCGTTTTGTTATGAATTGCTAAAATTCTTTTCTAAGGCTTAGTTTTTGCTTAAGAAACTAGTTTAACAGTAGTTTATATTAAACGCAAAACCACTTGATGTCCGAAAACCAAATTATTTTTTCGACGTTACAGGAATGGATAATTTGAATCGATTTTACAATTTATTTGTAGAGGTATTTTCATACACTTTTCTTTAGGTGGATTAGTTTCCCGTTTTTAATATAAATATTTATGATCAATATTTGCGGAAAGTTGTATTCTGTTTTAATTGCTGTGTGTCAAAATATATTTTTCGATTACCCCGATAAAGCAGACTTTTAAAAACCAGCCAACTTTTTAAACAGGAACAATTTATAGAAAATTACAAAATTCTTCCTCTTAGGGACTATACCGTTCTTATTGACTGTCATACGGAACTAAATCTTTTTAGAAGCTTATACAGACTCAGAATGTCTCTATACGTATTGCTTAAAAGCCTTTTTAAGGATCAAAATGTTATATATAATGTTCGTATGTAAATTAATTTTTTGCAGGCCCAGATATCTTCGGGATACAAATCGTAAATCATTCGTGAGTTATCACAAATATGATTAAAAATTTGGAAAACCCAAGATTTGGCTTTATATTTATTGTAGACAGATATAATGTATATCAGAGGTATGATATTGCAAAGACCTTTCAATTGATATATATATACATAGTGTTTAGGAAACGGTCTATGTGTTTGAGATATATCCAAAAATATGATATTTTGGAATTTGGGGCTGTCGTCAGCAATTTATCGAATTAACAACACTTTTTTAAGGTACCCTTGAGGATGCGCTAGGGAAGTGTGGTTCCTAGGGTAAATCTGCGTTAGTATTCATATCAGTCAGACAAAACCTATCAAATGGGAAAAACTTAGAAGTTATTATCAATTTATAAGGGTGATTTTAGAATACTATAAGATTTTAGATATTACAGGATGAAACATGTACACTTCCGACCTTGAGCAGTTCCTAGGTGAAGCTGTCTGTTGTCCAGGCCTTTAGTAACTTGTAGTCG